CGCCTCTGGTGTTCCAGGTGTCCATGGGCGACGCAGATTGCTTACCATCAGGTGATCCGTCTGCTCGTTTACCGGCTTATGCCATAAAAAAAAATCTATGCCTAACAGCATGTCTCTTAGTTTACTGAACTAAGAAAGTACAAGTATTAGCACTCTTACAACGCTCCAGCGTCGCGGAAGTACATACAGATTAGTGCCGCTAAGCCCCTGCACACCTGCTCCGTACCGTTATGTTGTAGCTTGATGAACAACGGAAAGTAATTAGAGGACGAGATATTGAGAGAATTTCTTGCTTAGATTCTCGACAACTTTGTTAAAATGTAAGCAGTTTAAGTGAAACCACGACCATAGATTCACTGTTTATTATTCATTATTCTTGGTGACATACGTTGTCACCAAAATAAACAGTGCTTCGTTAATGGAGTGAGCTTAAATGCGGCTAGTGAGCAAAGGATCTTCAATTCGATAAACTCATTAACAGTCACGATTTTCGATTTATTTTAACTGACTTCAAAAAGGAGAATTTCAGGTTGGCATGTATGTATGTATGTACGTTTGTGCGCCTCTATCTCGTGATGGGCTAAACTGATTTTGATTGAGTTTCCAGAAAAGTGTTTGTTACACTTAAGCGAACATTTTTGTTCGATATATTATCCACGATCTAACGCTGATCTAGCAACCCATATATATATAATATATTAATTAACCGACTTCAAAAGAAAAGGGGTCGAAGTCGGTTCTTTAAACGTGATTTATATAATAATTATTTCAAGACTAACACGGAGTTTAGAATGACCTATGTCTGCTTTAGGAAAATAGGCTCACCCCCGTTATATAAAACTCATTACTATATGAGTGACTTTAGCCAAACGCCATTTTAGCGCTTGTGTACAGAGAGAGTAGAAAACTAAATGTATGGGGATGACACTGACAAGTGTCAAAATTTACGTCAATTCCATATAATTTGGTTTTCTATTCTACATGTAGACAAGCGCTAAATGGCTTTTAGCTACAGCTGCAGGAAATGATCTTCTATAAAGTTATTACATAACCCTTTTAAAATTCCAATACAAATTTTAAGTAGACACCCCTATCTATGCTTATTAATAATAAGTATCAATAATAAGTTATTATTGATACTTCTACACCCATACAAAAGATGGTGGTCCATTCACCAAAATTGTTCATCTAAAGGTGATGAAATATGAACGGTTTACACTAACATTGCACTTACTACAATATTAGGGATCACAATACAGCAGCCCTTTATTTTTTTCTCAATCTCCACTCCCCTTTTTTCATCTCAGACGCGTGCGCACTTTGCATCCCTATAGTGTGAGATTTGGGGAGCTTTGTTTGTCCCTGGTCCATGGGTGTTAAAAAAAACAACCTGTTTGATTTATTTATTCGTATGTAAATATTGTGCTTAGTTGAGTATCATATTAAATTTTAGATTTTTAAATTCATTGAGATGAGTTTTTAATATATATTTTTATTCCTTTTGTTAAATATTACGTGTAATATGGTAGTTGACAACTAGTCAAATACAATACTTTTATCGAAACGTCAAAAACGATACCGCTCTATGAATTTTGTACGAAATCCCTACTTATGACGTCATCATATTGTCGCGTCAAATAGCACACTTATATCTAAGAAAAATGCTAGAAAAATCGAAAATTAAGTATATCGGCAAATCAATAAATGAAAGTGTAGGTAACCATTTTTAAATATTTAATTAGACTGAAAAATCAAATTATTTGTTATCTATTTTTGACCCAGGAAACTATCCAATTATAATAACCAAATGTATGGGTACCTATACTTAACTACTTAAAGATATCTGGGTTTTCATGTAACACAGCCATTTAATTGGCGTTCCATAGTCTCGGCCTACCGCCTTGGGAGACTGGCGTGAGATTATACATGTATGTACTTCATTTAATCATGTAAGACATTAGAAAGTATATTGTGCTAGGGACTTGAATCCACAATAAACAACTCCTAACACGGCTATAAACAAAAACCCAAAACCATCATAATAACAATCTTGATTATAACAAAGTATAAAAACAATAAAGTCATCACCCGCATCGTACTTACAACAAACCAACGCGAAACGATCAAGATTATCTTTATACCTGTCAGTTTAACAACATGGGAACTTAATGACGCTTTTGCATAAGTTATTGTGAATCACCCAAACCCCTTATGGCCAGAAACGTTAAAGTTTTTAAAGGGGTTCCCTATCTTTACAAAGAGAGGTGAATGTACTCGACGTCAGTCACATGTGACTGGATAGTTGTGTGGTTTGATACCCAGGTGGACAAGTTATTTTTGAGTGTTTAGACAATTTGATTGCTTCACTTGACTCGGCCGAAATATCACGCTGAAACTTGGCTTTCGTTTCCATTATAAGAACGATTTTTAATTTGTAGTGATAATTTATGATCGATTCAAAATAGTAAAAAGTTAGGGATTGTTTAATAATTAATTTTTTATGGGATAAGCCAGTAAACGAGCAGACAGATCACCTGATGGTAAGCAATCATCGCCGCCCATGGACACGTGAAACGCCAGAGGCATTACAAGTACGTGACTGACCTTCTGTGGCATTTGGAATTTGAGGACTCGGTGATTAGGGAGATTAGGGAGGTTTCGCCCGCCTTCCAAATCTACACCACATGGGCCCCCCGATAACTCACAAGATGAAACACAACATAAGTGTTGTTTCACGTCGGTTTTCTGTGAGGCTGTGGTATCGCTCCAATCGAGCGAAGCATGGCTCTCTCACACTGCAAACAAATTAACTTAAACAATATTTTATTTAAATAACTGTTATTTCCTTTCTAACTGTTATACTGTATCACTTTTATTTACTTTTTATATCTTGTTAGAATGCTTAATTACTAGGTATTACTTAACAAAGAATTTCTTAGTAATCATTATACTTATTACAAACTTGTAATTATGAATATCTCTAGTAGGAAGTAGTGCAGGAATTAGATACTTAGATCAGGCTGAGTCTAGACTGATTTCAAAAGTAAAAGTGTTAATGCGAACCTGTTTATAAATTGTATGTAGGTCTTAGGAATATTTTCTATGCACTGTTTTATAGCCATAGTCTAATATTATATTAAACTCACTTGTAAATGCTTGGTGACTGGGCTTCACCAGTTGTACAGTCTCATTTTTGTACCTTTAGGCCTAATTCATTCTGTATCCTGCAGTAATTCACTACGGGAAGTGGGTGAGACCTATAGTTTTTTTTCTTCAACTCTTATAATATCTTCTGATTCACTTCGTTGCGGGAACCAAGACAGTTATTCGTGTCCCAGGGACGCACCGGACTTCGGGGTTTCGGTGTTTTCATAGTTGCGTCTACTGTATATCCTGGCTTACAGAAGTTGCAGCAGTTTTAGGAGGTTGTGGCGGGCTTGTCCCAATAGAAAAAAATCGTCCGCTGCCTAATTAATTTGGGATTTTTTGCACTGAAAAGCTTTGTATGTTTGTCCAGAGGCTATGATGTCGATGCATTAAATAATAATGAAAAGTAGATAGGTAATTATCATTTAACATTAAGTAGTATTTTTTAAAAATTCGTGGTGATATATTCCATTTTATTGGAAATATATTTTCGAGATTCTTGGAAACCGCTGACTAACCTAATTTTAGAATTTCGGTGAACACGGACGTGATAATATTTCAAATAGAAAAACATCTCTAAACGCCCCAAATAATTTCATTTTTCTACCGTTAATTCGAGAGTAACCACAAAAACCGAGCCAAAAAGACTTTGACTTTTGCTACAAACATTTCTTAGTACATTTGAGACCGACCTAGCAGACTGTTGTTCCGAGTCTAACTATATGTAATGAATGCGAATGTTTGTAAATGCACTCACGACTAATTTGTGAAAAACAACTAGAACCACGTTTAAAAAAAGTATCATTGATCTAGGAAATGATATCTACATTATTCCATAAAGTAAACAAATTAAGTATGCGATGATATTAAAAGATAAACAAGGTTTTCCTTTGCGTTATTAACAAGAAAGCTAGCTTCCTTTTCCTGACTGGCTTTCAACTCGTTAGGATTTTACTTTCCAACTATAAAGACGTTAATTTGCTCATTTGCATTCAACGTTGCTGTAAAACTTGTTGACATTTTTATGAATGTATTTTCCTGTGTATAAATCAACGCTGCTTGAAGAAAATTCCTTAAACTGAACTGGTCTATGAGACAATTTGAAGGCCATCGATTTAATTCCGAAATATGAAACTTGACACTGATAACGCAGTAGGTATCAAAAGCTCATGATCAAAGCGAGTACCACATTCAATAGTCGAAAGAAAGAGTCACGATTTGAGGACGTGACGCTGCTACACAAAAGCGTTAGAAAAAATGACAACACAAAAGTAACAGTATCAAAACTTTTAATTATAAAAATAAATTACTATAACAAAACTACATTACTAAACTAATCTCCTAGAACAACTTTCTAATTGTAATTATTATGCGGTGCTATTGGCTGCAACACGTAAGCTTGCCCCGTGGCTCTGTCTACTACGTGACCAGTCGAAGGTTCTAAGAAAAGTCTTGGGACGGTGGATGCTGCAGTCACGTCTGGTTGATGATGCTGCCTTACTCCTGCTCCACCTTCGTAAGGAACGAAGTGAGGTGGTTCTAAATGTTGTTTAGGCACTTGTGGAGCTTGGGGCAAGTACTGAGGCAGCTGCTGAGGCTGTGGTAAGTACTGTGTCAAGTCTGGCTGCTGTTGATTCAAGTACAATGAATGATCTGGTTGAGTTGTGGGTACAAACTGATTTTGCTGTTGATCTTCATCGTCCTTATGACTTACTACTAATACTATTTGATTCTTTTCTTTTTGCTTATTATCATCTTCTTTCTTTCTATACTGTTGTCTCTTTGGTTTTGGTTTCTCATAAGTTTTTTCCTCTTCTTCTTCATCTTCAAACTCTTCTTCATGAGAAGTTTCAGCTGCTTCTTGCTCTCTATTGTTATTGTTGCGTTCTCTGTTGTTTTGTTTTTTGGGTGCTGGTTCCTCTGTAGATTCAGATTGGTATGATTTTGGATGTTTCCTTTCTGATTTACGTGCTCTATCTACTTTTGGGTGGGCTCGTTTAGCTCGTCCAGTTTCTTCGTAGCTTGACCTTTCTGGGTCATATTCTTCTTCACCGTAGGTTGGTGCGTTATTACTTGGTTCATCGTAGGGATCATCATTGTGCGAGTCTCTGTAGGATCCGTCATCACCATCGTCTCCAATGTTGTCAGCATTACCTGCATGGTTCAGATCCCAGTAATGTTCACCATATCCTCCCTTTTTATCACCCCAACGAACCTATGTTAGAAAGATGTGTCAGTTTTTGTTTTTAACATGTAGGTATGTATAGTAAATACAACAGTTTAAGTAACTAGTAGTTGTTAATACGTTTAAGTATGAATTAAGTTTGTAATATTAGAAACAGAAATAGATGTGAGTTAAAATAAAATAAAAGAAAGTTAAGATAGTCGTCGCAAGAATATGATAGAAGATGAAATGACTACGACAAGTCTATACAGTTAGTGTTGAAATTGTTGAAGTTTGAGATTAATTAGTCAGTTAAGTAGAAAATGAATAGCGTTATTCAAAGAAATAATAAACATAAGTTCCTATTAATAAAAAATTGGTATAGAAAGCACAAATAAAATATGAATATAGCAGAACTTCCTTCTGGTTTTGTTACACCATGCCTTGTTGAACCAATGTCAGACAAAAGCCATTAAATTATTGAATCACAAGAAAATTCTGCTATTAGTTATTAATAATATGAAGCACAGTAAGCATACTTTGGCAGAGAACAGTCCTTCAGAGGGCTTGGCCCTCTCATGTCTCTCAGTGAAGTGTCGTTCGCTGCCCAACCGATGTCCCTGATCAAACTCGTCAGCCTTCGGTAAGTGTCTATACCTTCAGCCAAGCGAAGCAAAGCGGAAAAGAGAAAGAAATAGAAGAAGGTTAGAGACAGAGCGAGATAATAGATGTGTTTTACTTTTCCCATGTCCCTGTGGTTCTTAAAGTCTTTCTTCTCGTAACGTTGCTCCCATGTGTTAGGATCCTCGCAGACGTGACCGAACTCTATCTTGTACGGACTCAACTGTACTGAGAAAAAATCCCTATAAAGCAAAGTATTTACCATCCTTACTAATAACATTGAAGATAATTAAGATTTTCTCAACACTTGTCAAAGGAAAATGAACTCTGAAGACATTGAAGATGTCATTAAAGTTGAAGTAATGAACGTTTGTTTTAAGTATCGAGTAGTTGAGAATAACAAGAACGAGAATGGAATGACAAAGTAAAATTGGCGACCGAAACCCCTTTCTCTAATTGCTATAGCGTAAAGTATGTCAATGTTTGGTTATTTTGAAACGTATTTGCATGCTGGCGACAACAGAATCCAATTAGCTTGAAGGTTGGTAGTGAAGTTGAAATTCATAACGAGGCGGTTTCACGAAAATTAGTCATTAAGTAATTAGACCTGTATTTTCGAGCGTTTGAAAAACCTGAGACTAATTTTGAAACATTTAACAGAATGAAACTACAATAAACATTATGTTAAGCGCAAAATTAAGAATAAGTAGAGAAGATAAGATTTCTTATACTTACTGGAAGAATTTAGCTTGAGCTTCGATTGTGGAAGGATTGCTAGGTGGTGTTCTCACTGTAACTGGTCGAGCTGTTCCCCACACAGATCCTACGTGAAGAGCTAGAAGGCACCAGAGCCATATCTGAAAATCAAAGTTTATTCCTATTAGTAAGAGTCCAGGGAATTGTCTCAAAAACAGGTGATGATCTAAAATAAATGAATGTCGCTGAAAAGATGTTAATTTTGCCAAAGAGTGAAACACCACAAACACACTTTCGAAGTAGTACGTAAAGTAAACTGTACACTGTCAGGGACACAATTGAGAACCAATTTTTCAATGCTCAGTTACCTAATTCTTAACTGTACAATAAAATTGACATTTGATAGTTTTCAGTATGGAAGAATTGTCAAATATTGAAAGTTATTCAACAAAATCAACATTTCTAATCCAAACAAACTTATGTCCAAATACTCGAACGTCACTTAATTTTAAGTCGCGCTTATGTATATGTAGTTCTGTCTCTACAAATTCTTAGTAAAATGACAGAGATGGCACGATATTCAAGTACAACAATTGAGTAGCCTTTCAGTATTCGTGCGATAGACACTAAGTTTTTAAACAAACAAACAACAAATACAAAATCACTATCACTTGTACACTTTCTCTGTATAAAACCGATATTTTATTGAATTTATTATTACTAAAGTATAAAATAATAATTGTTATTATTGAATTTAATGTAAATAATACCTTATTGTCAAGACGTGACATCTCGGCGGTTTGTTTGAAGCTCTGTGCCCAACACCGGCGGTAGTATCATTTATAGACAAAACTGTTACAATTCACTGTTTCCAGTGATCACCAACCATTTGTATTTTTGCTTGTTTTGATATTAACACAACACGTAATGCTTTTATTTCTCAAAGAGGTAGTAAGAAGTGTTCATTTTAAATATAACTCTAACTTTTCACCGGTTAAGTTCCTACGTGATAAGAGGAGTCTATTGCCGCTTTGTGCATTCCAGTCTCCAGACACCATTTCAGTCTCAGGAACGATACATCTACGTTAGACCTTATATTATGTACTTAAATTCTATGCAAATAAATGATTTTATTCTGTTCTACTTTATTCAGTGGTAGTAGGTACTAAGGAATTTACGAAAAACTGAAAATCGCTTATAATTTACCTAATTGAAGAATAATAAAGAAAACCCCTTGCTCAGCACTCGCTTTTAATCGAGAGAACAATGGACCAACGAGATATTATAAATAAGTGAAACAGGATGAACTATTTTTTTAAGTGGGGACAATCATCGAATGACTGCTCCCGCGTGGGTAAGACAGGAGGGAGTGTCAGACTCTTACTGACTAAAAACCACCCCGTTCCTTCTCCTGCACGTCGAGGCAGAGGCCCGGTTACCCGTTAGGTTCTATGCGACAGGATCAACTATAAAAAATTGATTTCGACTAAATTTGTCAAATCGAAGCTATAGCTATAGTCAAATAGGTACTGAGAATTAAAATCGAATTCTTGAAATCCAAGTATTATTTAATTTCTTTTCAGTATCTAAAGACGGATTTCCTTTACAGAAATGCGTCTCAAATGTTGTTCATCTCTGGCAATCTCAGATGCGTCCATTACGAATCGCGCCGCGTCATTGACTTTCCGCTGTCCGGCTTTCCGTGGCAAATAATTGTGGAAATCATTCTGTTATACACTATTATTAAAGATTAAAATAAACAAAAAGGTTAATCTGTAATTACTCAAGAACTGATAAATGAAATACTGGACTGTTGTAATATTTTTTATTGTATTCATTTTTTTTATTGTTTTTTTTTTTACACGAAACTCTCAATTGTGTAAAATGTCCTATAATTTATTATAGTTTGTTTTAATCATCATCAACAACATATAAATGCCCACTGCTGAGCAAAACCTCTTATCACATGGATAAGGTTAGAGCATTAAACTCCACGGATTTCAATTTGATTGAATGATTTCAAACACTTAAGTGTGGAAGAGCCATGCTTCGGCACGAATGGGCTGGCTCGACCGGAGTCACAGAAAACCGACGTGAAGCAACGCTTGCGTTGTGTTTCGTTGTGTGTGTGACGTTAGCGGAGGCCCAATTACCCTCCCTTCCCCAATCTCCCCAATTTCTGAATCCCCAACGATCCTCAAACTCCTAATCCCCAAAAGACCGGTAACGCACTTGTAACACCTCTGGTGTTCCAAGTGCCCATGGGCGACGCCGATTGCTTACCATCAGGTGATCCGTCACCTTTACCGGCTTATGCCATAAAAAAAACTAATAATTAGAAATTATAAGCCCAGGTTTTTATCATAATGTTTTCTTTCACCGTTTGTCAGTGATGCATGCATAATCTTTGTTTTACTATTTGTACCTATTACCTACCTGATGAACACTTGATTAATTACTTATATTCTTTGAACAACAAAAATCTGGATATTATGCACCATACCATCAAACTTTCCTGTACAAAAATTCATTGAATTGAAAAGTAAAAAAAGAACTTTTCAAAAAGGTGACACATTTGATAGAAAACACAACAATACATCGATGACCTTGAAAAAGAAAACCATTAAAAATAATGCAACAGTTTACAGTGAAATAAATCATTAAAACAATGATTGTGTAATACAAATGTTTCAGCTATTGAATAACAGTTTATTGGCATTTGGAAAAAAACAGTTAAAATCACTATTATAAGGCTGCACGCAATTAGAAAGAAATGGAGCGGACGATCCTAAAATGGTCTGTTGTTTCCAATAGGAAATGTTATTTAATAGGTTTTTGTTCATTATTGTTTTGTTCTAACTAGAAAAACTGTTTCGTATTGTCCATTACTTTGTATTATAATTATTTATCAGTTTACTAGAGTTTTAATATATCCTGAACTTAATTAATGTTCTCCTCCAATATAGTAAACATACGCATAATGTGTGTCTAATAATTTAATCCTTTATGATGGTAGACAAAACCTATGTAGTTATAACTAAAAATCTGAAAATATTGGAATTTGACTATACGTCTAACAAATATTTAGGTACGTTTTATCTAATTCACCAACAATTTCTGAATGTTTATAATAACTATCGTGAGACATACTAAATTAAGTAAAATCGCGGATTATATATTACGCGGGTATATTCACGTGAGTAACCCGCGATTTTACTTAATTTTACTTAATGTCTGAATTCTTCTCACCATGAAACCGGAACCATTCTCAAGAGACATAGATCTCAAGAATTGACAAAAAAGTGAGTTTTTTGACTCATCATAACTAAGAATTATGTTAAAAACCTGAAATTTCTTCTAATAAATGAGTCTTTTCAACAATAATAATAATAATAATAATATCTTTATTTGCCAGAAACACGGTAGGTACAGTTGTTAAATCATAAAATAGGTCAACATGTTTCGCCGTCATAGCGGCATGCAAATTACTTAAAAACTAATTTTCTTAACAACTAATATGTTATACAGTTATAAACTTTACTTTTGACATATCACCCAAACACAATACACCATTTAATAACAGATGCCTATAAGACTAAATAACAAACAATAAATAAATCTTTTATCTTAGGCTACTACAGAATAGGAACATGAGGAACCTTTTAAATGGACTAGCTTATTTAGGCTTATATCTAGAAGCTAAATGTATACTAAAATTTTTGCATGGGTATTTATAAAAAAATTCGTTAATTGAATAAAAGCATTCATGTAACAACCATTTACGTAACTGATTACAGAATTTTTTAAAGGGAAGTTCTGTTATACACTTTGGCAGTGCATTATATACCAGAGGAGCCATGTAAACACAGTTTTTTCGAAACATTTCTAGTTTAGGAACAGGTATTTCATATGGTAAATGTGTAACCTCTCTTTTATTTCTGTTGTCTTTCGGTTGGAAGAGCATAGGATAAGATCTCAAGAACTTAGCAACTTCGTAGATGTATATGCAGGGCACCGTTAAAAGACCCTGTGACTTGAAAACAGGCCTACAGGATTCGGACCATTGCATGTTAAAAATTGTCCGAATGCATTTTTTTTGAGCAATGAAAATTCTTTCTATATCGGAAGAGTTTCCCCACACCACAATACCATATCGGATTACAGAGCAGATGTAGGCGTGATACACCATCAAGGAAGTATGTTGGGATGTAGCATCTTTTACTTTACGTAATGCAAATACGAATTGGTTAATTTTTTTACAAATGTTATTAATGTGGTTCTTCCAAGTGAAGCACTCATCTAACGTAACTCCAAGAAATTTTGATGAATTGACCTGATTAATTATACTATTATTATATACTACATTAAAGCGTATAGGTTTGCTTTGGCATGTCTTAAAATGCAGTAAGTTAGTTTTAGAAATATTTATTTTTAGTTTATTAACATCTAGCCATTGTATTACGTCATTCAAAGTTTGATTAATTTCCATATCAAAGTTTTGAGGATTATTACATTTAATGATTATTGTTGTGTCGTCAGCAAATAGGACACATTGATGCTTTATTGAACTTGGTAGGTCATTAATGTAGAGTAGAAACAGTAAAGGTCCTAAAATGCTGCCTTGCGGAACACCACAGTCGTTGGTATCCGGATTAGAATCAAAGTATTCCAGGCTGTTAGTTAATTGATTGAATTTGGTTATTCTAGTAATCTGTTTTCGGTTACATAGATATGACTGAAACCAATCCTTGGCTGGGCCCCTGACACCATACTTTTCCATTTTTTCTATGAGTCTATCATGGTTAACTAAATCAAAGGCCTTACTTAGATCCAGAAATAAAGCACATGTAGGTATTTTTTCATTAATATTGCTAATTATTGTTTTAATTAATGTGTAGATTGCTAGTGTAGTTGACTTGTTCTGCCTAAATCCGTACTGTTGACTAACTAGTATATTATATCTATCTAAAAATTTTAGGACACGGCTATACATAACTTTCTCGAATATTTTCGAGATTACTGGAGTCAGTGCAATAGGTCTGTAGTTATCCAAGTTTAATTTTGATCCCTTTTTAAACAATGGTTTGATTAATGCTTTTTTTAGCCTTTCTGGAAAACATCCTTGTTGTAGAGATAAATTAATAATATGAGCTAAAGGCGAAGAAATATATTTAGATACAGATTTAAGAAGTTCTGTAGTTATATTGTCATACCCTGCTGACTTTGAATTTTTCAATGATATTATGATACGACAGACTTCTAATGCATTCGTAGGTTGAAGGAATATACTATTATTTTGAATATCAATGTTATGCATATAATTTTGGCTATCAAAAGAAGTTGGGGAATGATTCTTTGCTACCTCAATGAAAAATTTATTAAACCTATTTGCGATGTCAGATCCTGAAGTCCATGTTATGCAATTATCAACGATTTTATTAATATATTCTCTAACTGTCTCGTTCCCCATATTGCGTCTTACTACATCCCATGTGGCTTTAATACTTCCCAATAAGACTTCCATCTTATTTCCGATAACCTCGTTCATTTCTAGTTTATAACTCCAACCGTTAGTAGCGCGTTCACTATAAAAATAAATACTTAAAACAATGTAATATCTGAATCAAGTACCGTGTAATGACTTAGTTGAACATTACGCAAGTCGACGTAATTATTCTTTCAGGTTAGTGACACAATTGGGGGTAAAAAATATTTGGCTAATAGACCATTATAATGAGAATTTAGTGATGGGGTTTTCTGTGAGGCGAAAGTATGACTCTCTTAAGTCTTTCGATACTC